ACTTTGGAAATTTCAACTTGAGGTTTGTATTTGGAAGAAAAGTTGGAGGTGTGCGAGTTGTAGCTACGGTTGTATTTTGCTTGACTGTTTGTGATGTTTCTCCCGCAACAAAGGGGTTGACATCATTTTCGGGAACTTTTTGTTGTGTGGAAGAAGCCCGTAGAGCTTGAAGCTCTTTGATGACAATTTGAAGGGTATTGTGTATTTGATCGAAATTCGATTCATGTTTGGCAAGGGTTTTGAAAACCTCGGTGCGAAACTCGGCATTAGATTTATTTCGAGTTTCCATGGAACGTGGCTTTGATACCACTGATATGTTCCAAGAGTTTTAGGAACGAGAATTTGAGGAATTAAGAAAAGAGTATACGAAATTAGAGATAATCAGAAGATTAAAGAGAAGAATTGTTTCTGTATTAATTCATATCCCATCTACGGTTCCCTCACCCTAATAAATAGTGTTTCTTGAAGTTGGTGCACATATAATGGAGCATTCATATGATCAAGACGAGTTGCATTGCAACTGAAAGATGGTTAAGGGCTTGTGTTGAGCTGTAGATATACAAGACTCCTCATTGAACCATCTACGCACGTGGCAAGCTGTTGAGGTGGTACATGAGAGATAGTTCGAACTAACTAGTAGCTTCTGATTGACCAACAAGGAATAAGTGCCATGTGCATCACTCGAATTTGTTTGCTTGATATATATGTATAGCAACAGCTGAGATTGTAACAATACGCATAGATAGTGAGTGATATACATTGTAACTACTTAGTGAGGGGAATCTTCCTTGAGAGAGAGAGAGAGAGAGAGAGAGAGAGAGAGAGAGAGAAGAGAGAGAGAGAGAGAGAGAGAGAGAGAGAGAGAGAGAGACTGTTATGAGTTATTACTGAATCAATACAATTTAACTAGAGAAAGCACAAGATCATCGAAGGATCTTACTCTCTCTCTCTCGGACACACACACAAAATTGAAACCAGAAGAAAAATAGGCAAGAACAAAAAAGGTTTTACGCGGTTCGAGATTCATAAAGAATCCTATATCCACGGAAGCTGAGAAAGGCTCCGAATGCACTATATGACAATAGCTAGATTCAAAAGAAACAGTCTCTAATCACATCACACATACAATGCTTGACTCTGCCACACAAACCCTAGCTTTCACTATGTGTTTTGTATGTGTTTTCTTGTATCTTTCTCTTCAAGCAATTCTACCTTTTCCCCTCACGTTTTCTCTGCCAAGGAACAAGGTATTTATTGTGCCTGAGAAAGCATATTCCTAGCCAATATCTTTCTCTCTCTGGTGGCCAAAATCCTACGTGGCATAACTGAACTTGTCATCACATGCACATGTATGTGCAGGAGATGTCTCACGTGAGAACTTCCAGTAGCTTCTAGCTTATTCCTTTTCCAATAGTGCATTAGTGATTAACCAAAATTATGACCATGCGTAACAAATCTCCACCTTGATAATTTTCTTTTAATGCTCCTCCTATCTCTCTGAGCTCCTCCATGCTCCACCTGGAAATTAGTCCAGTTTAATTCCTTTCTGTCAAGTTAACAACTTGCATCAAGTTCAAACGATGCTTGAACTTAAGGGATGGTAATGGTTTTGTCAATGCATCAACTGGATTTTCTTCTAATGCAACCTTAACCACATCAACTTCTCCAACTCCTAGTACATCCCTAGTGAGATGCAGTTTTATCTCTATGTGCTTAGACCTCTCATGAAACATATGATTTCTCAGCAGAAACAAGGTATTCTGGCTATCACAACGCAGAGTGATATTATCCTCGTTTCGAGAAATCTCTCCCATGAATTCTTCAGCCACAATTCTTCCTTAATTGCGTTGCTGCCATGTAGTCTTCCTCAGTTGTAGAAAGAGCAACAACTTTCTGCAGACATGATTTCCAGCTAATTGGTCTTCCATGACAGTAAATACTAAATACCTATCCAGATAATGATATTCTTGTGTCAAGACACCCTACGTAATCAGAATGTACATATCTTTGTATCTCGAAATCATTTTATGTTACCATCTTAAACATCAATCCCAAGTCAGAAGATCCTCCCAAATATTTAAGTAGATTTTTACCAGCAATCTAATGAGCTTTGCCAGGCTTAGCCATGAATCTACTCACCATACTCAATGAGTAAGCTAGAACATGCCTAGTGCAAATCATAGTATACATAATACTACCAACCACATTAGCATATGGAATATCCTTCATAAAATTCTTCTCCTCTATGGTTTTAGGCTTTTGACCAGCTGTTAATTTGAAATGTGTTGCCAAGGGTATTGCAACTCTCTTTGCACTTCTCATGCCGTATTTGGTTAACACATTCTCAATGTAATCTTTATGATGTAATCTTTATGTGACAAGAATAGAAAATATTTCCTTTTATTCCAGAGAATATCAATATCAAGTATAATCTTGGAATGCCCCATGTCCTTCATTTCAAATTCACCTCTGAACTGATTTTTCAGAGTTTCAATTTTCTCAATATTGTTGCCAATCATCTACATATAGAAATAACAATATCTGATCTCTTCCAATCTCACCCTTTTCATAGACACAACTGCCAAAATCACTTCTCTTAAAACCAATAGACAACATGAAGTTATCAAACTTCTTGTATCACTATCTTGGCGACTGTTTTAATACATAGAGAGACTTCTTAAGTAAGCACACCATGCCTTATTCACTTTCCTCGAAACCCTCTCGTTGTCTCATATATATAGTCTCTTCAAGTTCTCCATGAAGAAAGCCAGTAGTGACATCCATTTGCTCCAACTCAAGGTCAAATTGAGCAACCAATAAAAGTGCAATTATGATAGAAGTTTGTTTCACTATTGAAGAGAAGATTTCATTGAAATCAATTTCTTCTATTTGAGTAAAACCCTTAACAACCAACCTAGCCTTATATCTAGACTTTTCAAAAACAGGAATTTCAATCTTCAGCTTATATATCCACTTACATCCAACTAGCTTCTAATTCTTTGGTTTCTCCACCAAAGTCCATTCATTGATCTAATCCAATGATTTTTTTGTTTACATGTAACTGTTTCTTTATAGGATAGAGGCTCATCATCATTTAATTCTAAAGGGACATGCAGAAAGAGCATAGGCTATGATATATGCATAGCCAAACCACTGAGTTGGCTTCTTCATTCTCCCTCTCTCCATCTCTAACTAATTGATAGTCATGTTGATCATCTACGGTTGAGTCATTTTCTTCTTGTGAATTATCAACTGGTTCTTCTTATTTTGATTTGGATTTACTCACCTCAGACTCCACATCAATCTGAGCATTCTTACCAGTTTGATCAGCCTGATTCAGATCATATTGCTTCAATGGCATTATTGACTCATCAAAAGTAACATATCTACTTATGGACTTCTGTTTATTAGATAACAAGCAGTCTTGGCTGCTTTCCCCCAAAATTTCTTAGAGCATCCTGAACTCAGCAACATACACATGACCTTCCCTATGATACTCCTATTCATCCTTTGTGCTAGATCATTTTGTTGTGGGGTTCTTTTAATAGTCATGTGCCTTGTAATCACCGACTCATTATAGAATTTGATAAATGAATCAGATTAAAACTCAAGCCCATTATCAATCCTTAGGTTTTTGACTAGCCAGCCAGTTTTTGTTTCAACTCTTAGTTTCCAGACCTTAAACATAGCTAGAGCTTCATCAGTTGTCTTTAACAGATGCAACCACACCTTTCTTGAGTTATCATCAACTAGTGTCATAAAGTATCTAGCTCCTTCATGTGTGTTTGTTCTTGCTGGTCTCTGCAGATTTTTTTATAAGATTTGTGTTAAGCTCAGTTGGCAAATGTAATCCTATTGGATGGTGGAAGTTTTTTATTCGAACCCTGGGGTAGTATCACAATAACAGATATGTTTGGAAGTGCTACCTTTTTCATTTTTTTTCTTTTTTCATTTTTATGGGCCAAGTTAACAAAGCTCAAAACATAAATAAGAAAACATAGGGGGCCAAGCTATGCCTTTTCCTTTTATTATTACCTTTTTTTTATGGGCCAAACTAATAAAGCCTAAAACATAAATATGAAAACATAGGGCCGAGCTAAAGGGCAAACAATGGTAAGCAAATAACCGAGTTTTTTAACACAAAATTCTCATATTTTGAAACTCTTTAACAAAGCAGTAATACACCACAAAATATAGGATTGTCATTAAATCTCGATAATTAATTAAATTTGTCTCTCATTTTCTTTGATCTTTCATTGTTATTCCTAGATTTTTTTTACTGTGTTTAGATTTGAATTTAATAATTTGGCTCCTTAGTATTATTATATTGTATATTTTTTAATTTCATAGGTTGAGTATCTCTCGACAACTGAGTCGTAGAAAAGTTTGTCGGGATATTCAAAAAAAGGAATTAATCACAAAAAGAACTCTATGCTTAAAAAACAAAATCTTGAAAAAAAAAATGTTGAAAATGAAGTTATCGACTTGTGGTTGAGGAATGAGTTGATAAGTTAGAACTTAGTAATTAAGAGGGCCTCGTTTTCGATTTTCGCCTCGGGCCTCCGGTACCTTAGGACCGGGCCTGTGTATATATATATACACACACACTGTATTGCAACAAATGAGGGTTTACTACCGTGGACATTTAGCAGGAATGATGGTTTGATCATTTAGGGTGGAAGGCTAAAAACATGATAATTAGGTGATAACAATGAAAGTCGAGTAGGGTGAGAGGTAATGCTCTTAAACACCACATAGTTGAACACCACAAATCTGCATTCGACTTCTAACTAAACAAATAACGCAAGTAAGGTTCAATTCGACACAGGGAGATAAATCCATCGTATCCTTTGCAATTTCCAAAACATTGGATGCAATTTTACAGATTCAAACACACCAGACTCTAAATGGCTTTGGAAGTTCATTCTATGTAACATATCTCACTAATAAAAATACTCAAGAGTGGTTAAGGCACGATTATAGAAAATATCACAAGACACTAAAACAGAACTAGAGGCAACTTTTAATTGATTGAACGAATATCTTCAAAATTTCTATCTCAACGGATATGGCTTCCCATAAAATGCTTTTAAATAAAAATAAAGTACACAAAAAAAAATCTGGAAAACAAAATCCACTACTTAGGCATAAAAAATCACTGTTGTCGGGCTTCGACTTTCTTTTTCTGCCAGAGCCTATCAAGTGCACTGTCTGCATCACCCTGCACAACAGAATTGCATGCCAAGGTAAAAACACAGAACCATGTAACATGTGGCTTTAAATTACACATGACTAATTTAGCAGTCCAGCATACAAATATTTTGCAGAGATATTGAACATTATAATATAGATATCGTGCTTCATACATATATAAATTAAGAATACACTAAGCCAATTTGTATACGATGCTCAAAACTGCTCTAGCTCATACAAGATGCATAAAACAAGAGGATCCAACTTCTCTTACGATGTAAGACACTCTTACGTGAAACATTCGAATGATCTAAACTAATGTGCTCACCGTGGGGGTATAAAGTGGACTGGTACTTATACAAGTCTAAGTTTTCTGGTTCATTCGACAGGCGACAACATGTATGTGTAAGAACTGTTTTGTGCATGTTATTTTACTTTGTCGAGTGATGTCATCCAAGTTTTCTGGTTCGTTCAACATCATCTATTCGTAAGAACTATTGCACTAATAAAGAACAAGTATTTGTCCAAACCGACAATTAACGTAAAAAAGAAGTACATTGATTCAAGTTGCACATAACAATACGAAACAAAACATGAAATTTGCCAAAAAGATAAAGAAATGCAAGGTGCAAACGTTACCTGGGCACGGATGAATCCACAGAGAGCAAATGTGGAGAATTGGCCAGTGTAACGGCCACTCTCATCCAAATGCCCAACATTGATCTGTACAGACGCATGATCCTTTGAAGTGATCAGCCTATTAGTGGCCGAGCTGAAACATCCAAAAAAATAAACAAAATTAACAATAATAAAAAAAATCAGCCATACCATTCATTTCAAAACTTTATCGACCTATATGCACTCTAGAATTCAATTCAGCCATAAAATACAGAAGAACAAAAGAGTAGCGTGTAGAATAAAATATATACCACTTCCTCGGGATATAGAGATCCATGTTTTGTCCCTCGTCGTTCTGCATCTTCGCTGAATATTCACTCTCACTCACTTTCAAATATTAGCACCTGAAACAATAAAAACCCAAATGTTGTAAATCCACAAGAAAGGCAAATAATGATCAAATATTCTGATCAGTTAAATCGATTTGCAGCAGCATAATTTATTACATCAAAATCATCGAGAAAAAGTTAAAACTAGGGCCAATTTCGTAAAAATAAAAGATTTCTAAATGAAAATCAAGCATTACACAGAACCGGATATTGCTAAACTCTATCGGCACTGGTCGCATACACACTGATGAACGTAATTCACAAATTAGAACCAAAAATTCTCCTTTAATTATCTATATAAGAACAAAATCGAAAATTCAACACATATAGAGGAGCATCACAAACTTCCGACGCGTCAAATAAAAACCTGTCGATTATCGTCAATCTTTGAAAATTAAATAAGAAAAATTGTTTGATAAGAAAAAGGATTGAATAATCGGAGACAGAAAAAGTTAGTGTACCTGTAGGGATCCGACTGCGAAGAGCTGCTAAGGCGAAAATGGATGGTATCTCTAATCCTTTATATATAAGATTCAGCCCATAAACCCTAGCGCCTCTTTCTATTTCAGTATTTTGGACTATTTTATTTTATAACCCCTTTACTTAGCATTATATTCTATTTACCCCTATTTTTTAGATTTCCTTTCATTTTTTTTTAATTTCTACTTAAAAGAAATAGTTATTTATTTATTATTTTTAGTTTTTTCAATTTTTTTATTTGTTTCCAGTTTTTTGTTTTTTTTTAAATATTATTTTTTTGTTTTTTTTCCAATTTATTCTTTTAATTAATATTTTTTATTGATTTTTTTTTCTTTACCAAATTGAAATCCACTGCACACTTAACGAATTTCACTATAAATATTTCGAAATTTACTGAAACTCATTTTTTTCCAACGCGTTTACCCAAAAATGAAATCCGCTACACATCAAAATTAATTCATTATTCACTGCCTGAATTTGAAATCCACTATTCACTGCCTGAATTTAAAATTCACCATTCACTGTACGTGTTGTCAACCCCCATCCCTCGAACGTAATCCACTACTTAATGTTGCGTGAGAATTCGAAAACTACTATTTACTGTAAGCGCATCGACACCCTCTCCTCTATTGCTCGCGCCTGTAGCAGGTATATTTTGTCTGAAAATCCACTACAAGTTCATCAAAAACCACAACAAAAGTATAGAAATCCACTACAAAAGATCCCCTATACATAGAGCAAATCACTAAAAACTTGCATAAATCCACTACAAAAATCCCCTTTATTAGACAACGTTATCGCAAACGATAGTAGGATCACACGAGCATCACCCAACCTCGTCCCACTTTGCCATCACTCCGCTTGTGCAAGAACATGAACCAATGAAAAAGAAGACAACAACGTGTAAATTTAATTCATTCAAAACAAAATCGGTCTACAAAGCAAGAATTTTAAATCTACTACAATCTCATCCAAACCAACTACAAAAAATATCGAAATCCACTAAAAATATTAACATAATCCACTACGAAATTAACCTAATCCACTACAAAATTAACCTAATCCACTACAAAACAATTACAAAAATAGTAACGTAATCCACTACGAAATTAAACTAATCCACGACGACAAATCCCCCTTTCAAAGAGAAAATTCAGTTCAATTATATCAAAATTCGCTACGGAATTAACCTAATCCACTACAACAAAACACCTTTTCAAAGAGAAAATCTAATTCAAAATAAGAATTACAATCTAATTACAATCAAATTAAGGATTTATAATGCCCATTATAAGACCCCAAAAAATTAGAAAATCTTCCTTCAAGACTTAATTCGAAATATTCTACATTTTCCTAATCAATGTACATAAACTGGATAAGTAATAAAACCAAAACAACAAGACAAAAAGGAGAAAAAAATAAGAGGAATACAAAGTGACTAGACCTATTTGTTTCACAACCAGCATCGTAGGATTTCTCTCTTCTGCTACATTGCTAACATTTGTCTCTTCTTCGATAGGATTTTTCTCTTCTGCTATAGTAGGCAGTGACTCATGATGCACATTTTCAACATGCTGAATATGTTGACGATTTTCCTTCGGATTCTGAAGGCTAGCCTCCCTCCCTTGCTTTTGATGGATTATAGCATCTTTACCAGTTGTTTGAGTTTTCTTTAGTATTTTCACATTGAGAATTTTATTTACTACTGCTTGTTTTTTGGAGAGCTTCCTACACACCTCTCTAACATGCCCTAGAAGCCCATAATGGGTACATAATCCTATGTTTCCCTCGTATTCAATCTTCTGCCCAAACCAACATCCTTTGATTCTCCTATCCAGATTTTATGTTGCATGTTGCAGTGGTAGCGAAACATCAATTTCCAGACATATCCTAGCATGGATGATATTTTGCATGGAAATGGTCCTATCATCAAAGCGTACAAAAGTATCAATCGTAGAAATTTGAAAGTTAAATTCTTACTATATGAATCATGTGTGTGCATTTTAGAGTATAGTTGCATCTAACATTTTTGGTAGAATCTATGTGGATATATGCGATGCCATGTATTGAAGTGGATGATCTGTATCTTGTGTGAAACTTAGGTGCATTCTTAATGGTGCATTCATGAAATACATAAAAAGCGCACTGATTTGATTTGCATATTTTCAAAAAAAAAAAAAAAATGCATGCAAACTTTTGTTTTATAGGAAATGAGTTTTCTAGATATGTATAACTTTGAAGTTGGTAGTGAATTTATTCCTGATTTATGTTTGTGCAAATCTATGTGATTATCTACAAATTTACAACTGATTGGTTTATAACTTGTTCGTAGTATAAATGGATTCATTCGCTTAAACTATATCATGTCTTGCATATTAGATGTTTATGGGTTTATGATACTATGTGTTCATGTAAACCTTATGTCTATATAAGGACCAGATAAGATTAGTGTTGCATATCATACAACGCTTTCATATCATGCAGGTATTCAAAACATTTCAAAAGAAGGTAAGAGAAATTTTTAAAATATTTCAAAATTGAGTTTTGTTTTTATGAAAATTAGAATTTTCAACTCGACTCGGTTACTATTTTCCCTAAAGGCTATCATAGTAGTGCTAAAACTCTTACCGGAATTTTTACAAGAAGCATGTTTCCTATTTATTTACAAAATATTTTGGAATCAAGGCGAACTTTTGAAAAGGTAGGAAGACGTTTTCCTAATTATTGTTAACCCCTATTCAAGAAACGCTATGTTGTAACTTGGTCTCATCGTCTTTTACGGGGAACTTTTCAAATTTTGAGGACAAAATTTATTTAAGGAGGGAAGAGTGTAACAACCCGCATTTTCATAAGCATTTATATATGATTATATTGAACAAATAGTAAATACGAATATACATGCATTTCATGCATCGCGTAGCAATTTATACGTTCTCTATGTGTTTATGTGATTTAGATACATTATAGTATTTTTAGAAGTAGACTTATTATTAATTGAGTAGTTGATTCTAATTATGTGAATTAATGAATTATGTGCTTTAGTCCATGGATTTTAATGATGTGCTTTAATTGATAATTAATCTAGGATTGAGATGATGTGATTAATTGGTATCCTAATTATAATTTATGAATTATATGTTTTAGTGTGTGTGTATTGGCCGTGTGTTGTGTGTGAGGGGAAAGTGGATTTCTCCCTAAGTTTATTAATTATTAAGGACTCCCCTCTTCTCTTCTATATTGCTAAGAAGCCCCAAGGTATGTTCTCCCAAATTGCTAATAAAACCCCAATGTCTTTTATATTGCAAATAAGGGCCTCATCTCCCCTATAAATAAACCCCTCCTCTTCACATTCTCTTCACACCAAAAACATCAGCCAAAAGGCCCTCTCCCCTCCCTCTCCTCTCCCTCTCCATCGATCAAAAACAGCCCCAAAGAAGAATTCTCTTCTTCCATCACCCCATCAAAGCCCCTCTCTCCTTCCTCTCTTCAATTCCTCTCCAAGAGAAACTCCCTCTTCAATTATGCTAAAAACCTTCAAGAAACAGCCCCTTCACATCCTTCAACTCAGCCCCAAAGCCATCCAAAAACATCCAAGCCAAACCCGCCGAAAATCCACCGAGCCTTTGGTTTTCTTACTCCTTCATCTTCGATTTCTTACTCTTGGGTAAGGACCTTGGTCTTTACTGAAATAATAACCTAATTAATATAAATTATATGGGTTTTAATGAATTATATGTTTGTGGTTTAATTTTGGGCTGTAGAAGATAAAGTTCTTGATGAACACTACTTGAATTTCAGTTTCGTAGCTTCTGATTGTATTGCATGTCTCATCGGGTAATCCCTAAAGATAAAATTATGAAATTTGATGGTAGTCTAGATCTTTCGGTTAGCTTCATGTGGATATAAATTATGCATAAATCGGATTTGTATTGAGTGAGTTATGAATCGTTTTCTGAATCTGCACAGTTTCGGAGTCATCCACGAATTATGTGTTAAATAGCTTTTTATACTACTCTTATTGAAGTGATTTCACTCGAATATGATTATGTACTTATGAAACTAATATTCTACGAAATTTGGTAATTTTTGGATTAAGTGATGAATTATTTGGTATTTTTAAAGTTAGTGGATCTGTTCTGAATTTCTGCTTATGTTACTGCACTAAATTGATTAGATCTCTTACATACGTGAGTTTCTTCATAAACTGTTTTAACCCTATAAACTAGACTTAGATATGAACATGTGTTCCAAATTTCATCAGGTTTGGATCTACGGATTAGGAGATATGAATTTCTGAAGTTGTAGTGCCTAAACTGCCAGATCTGTTTTGATCAAAGATGTAGATATAGATTACTCATGAATTTTCAGGTTTTCAGTCTCGGAGTTTACTGCATGTTTCACAGATGCCCTGTTTTCCAAAAATCACGAAAGTTTATGGGTAACTAGATCTTTCTGTTCTCTTTAATTTTATATATTTTAATCATCAACCGGATTTCAGATGATTAAGATATGAATTATTTACTAAACCTGCACAGTTTTTGAGTCAGCTGAGGATTTGCTTTTAAAATCGATGTTTTTCCTAGTTAACTTCTTTAATTCCACTTGGAATGGATTTATAACTTATAAAACCAGTCTTCGACAAAGGTGTGCAGTGTTTTAACAAAAGGGTGATTTATTGGGTATTTTTAAAGTGGTTGGTTCTGTTTCTGAAAGTGTGACCATACTACTGTACTGTTTTACTTATTTCTCTTAGGCTACTGGTTATTTTGGAAAACTGTTTTAAATGAGTCTTTTCCACTGATACACGAGTATTTTGTTAAAGTTTCAGAATTTTTGGAGTTACGGTTTAAGAGAAATGTAATTTCAAAGTTAAAGTGTCAAAACTGTGAGATTTTCCTAAAATAAGTTATTTTGAATTAAAGGGGTCCTTTGTGGGCATGGTTTAAACTCTTGAGACATGACTTAACATAGTAATAAATATAGATTAAGTTTCTTAGATTATTATGTCACATCTAAGAACCATTCTTAGAGTAGATATATGTAAGATAAAAAGACTAGTATATATTGAGAACGATAAGCTGTTCTTGAAATTTTCTATGTGCTAGTACTTCTACTAAGATTTGATTTTCTATAGTCCCTTGAATAGGGATTATGTGAAATATTGAATTTCATGATGATTATTTGAATAATGTTTTTACTCTTATGAGGTATAAGTATGTATATATATATGTATATCGATAGTTTAGACCTATGATGTTATGGGCGTACTCCCCTCGGGTTGAGGAAACTTATAACCCATAGTTATAAATTAGAGTATATACGTATATGTATAAGTATATAAATACGTATAAGTGCCTACGTGTAAAAGTATATGTGTCTTCATTACTAATGTTTGATCTATATGTGCTTACTATCGTTTCGGAATTTGCTTCCAAATTACATGATTTGATTATCGAGTTATGTGATTTAACTCCTTTGAAATTAGGTGAGTGACGTACTTGAAATTATTACTGTTTATTTGAATGGTGTATTAAGATCTTTGACTTGCGTGCATTCATCGAGTCATTAATTGGTATTGCATGGTCTACTATAGAAAGGTCAAAATTGCGACGTTGCTACGGTTGAATAGACACGGGATACGGGGGGCCGGTATTCCAACAACAGTTACTATAGAACTATAGGGTGGTTAGCTCCCACCGAATGACCGGGCTCAGCATATAAACGTCTATTGCCGGTGCTTACGTTAGGGTTTTGATAGGGATCCTGTCATACGCATCTATGCATAAAAATGGTTTTAGAAGCAAGATGATTTCCAAAAGATTTTAAAAGAAATTTCCTTTTTAAAGGAAAGGGACTTTATGCCTAAATTAGTTTCCCAAGTAAATTATGAATTAATTTACATGAATTATTCCCAGAATGATTTTCAAGTAGTTTTCGAAACAAAACCATACTTTTGTTATAATGCTCTCGATTTCAAGGAAAATATGTTATGTGCTTATATGTGTAATTATATGCTTGAATATGTGTGACGTGTTTGTAGGGATAACATAATTAGTTGGAAAGGACATAGACGAATACTTTAGGACTCCCGTAGGTCGTGAGTGATACGATGAGAGAGGCGTGAGTTCGTCAGACTAAGACTAATGTCCTTACTGAGCCAGTGTTTGGGCTCATGCTTTTATGCAAATTATCTTTTTAGGTTCTCCAAGCTATTTAGGAAACCGGCGGAGTGGAGTTCGAGGAATCACGAGCCTTGGTGCCTAGATTATTTTACTCGTATTTTCTACGCAACGTTTTATCGAAAAATTAATCATGTAGTATAATCTTATTTTGTACTCTGATTGGAACCCAGTCTATTAAACGGGGGTATCTTAAATAAAGTTTATTTCCTTCCGCTGTCTTACGAGTGTTTTCTAAACCCCGGTAATATTTTATGTGGGTTATTCCGTCAGCTCGAGATTATTTTCAAAATCCCGTTCGTGTTATGGTACACTCTCTATGAAAAATCTTATTTTCCGATTGTGGGTTAGATTTGAAGTAAAGGGAAATGGTTCTAAAATTTTAAAGTGGTTTTTCTCAAAGTTCAAATTTGTTCCAAAAGTTTTTAATAAAGTCCGTGTTTTCTAAGAATTCCCAATTCTTTGAAGGTACGAGGGTTGAAATAAATCAGTGGCAGTTGTGGGAATTTAATTCAAACTGTGACTACTGTACTGTGTTTGGAAAAGTTGAAGTCTCTAGTCCATCTAAAAACCCTAAACATCGATGTAGCTATAAGGTTGGGATCGTGACCTTGAGTTAGGATCATATCATCATGGTTTGCTGGCACAAAAATCGCATGTCTAAAATCAATCAAGTTGATCGCCGGCTCATGCGATAGCTTCCATTTATTGAATATGTGCAATTTGATATCATCAACGCTTGGTCACCCTTAGGAGAACTTCAAAAATCAGGGCGTTTTCAAAAGTTTCGATGAAATTTCTAGTTCCAAAGGAGAAAATAGACACGCATGGGCATTATCGATTTGCAACGGAGGGCGATGAGGCAACAAAATCTTGTGAAACTGAAACTAGGACGGGGTAGTAATCGAAACCCTAACACGAGTACGCAGGAGCCCCATATTAGGATTATCCGGTGGGATTAGAGGAGTGTTAGTGGCCATGATAGACGGAGAAAGGCCAGAGTAGATGATCGTTGAAGTCGAGCTGCCAAATTGCCAAGTCGCCTAGGGTTTCATGATTTCGATAATTAATAAAAATATAAAGACATAAAAATGACAAAACAATGTTATTATTATGGGGCTTTTTGATAAAACCCCCTCAAACCTTTCATGAATAGGGAGAGGTTCAATTCATATTTCACTCTTTCAGATAAATCTATGCTCCTTTCTCCTTCTCTCTAATCTCAAAATTGTCCTCCCACTATATTATTCTCAATACTTCCATCCCTATTTCCTTTTCTTCTTTTTTCTTAAATTAATTTTTGTTTTCTAATTTTTATTTTTTATTCTTATTTTATTATTTTTTTTAACAATTTTTTATAAATTGTTTTTCGTGTTTTTTGAAACTTTTTTCATCTATCAAGTGTGTTAATCGACTATCAACTAAAGCATATTCGATTAAGGAACTAAATACTAAAAATAATAAAACACAACTAAAAAAAAAACGAAAATCAACTATTGTTTACAAAACAAAAATATACAAAAATTGTAATTGATTTTTATAAATCTAAATCAATACACAAAAACCCAAAAATGAATTAAAACTGTAGTCGATTAACCTTATTCGACTATCAAAACACAGTTGATTAACCTTAATCGACTACCAAAACGTAGTCGATTAACCTCCGCGGGCTTTCTCTGCCTGCGCCGCCTTCCGTCCAATCTACCCAAAAAACCCTAGATCTGCTCCCCATCGTCACCACACAGTCGCCACACCACACTATCACCATCCCCGCCCCTACAACCCATCACAACCACCGGCCATGTACAAATACACCACCTTACACGGTACACACAAATATACAAACCTACCACCGCCATAAACAACTTCACAAATATAACCACTGCCACCAGCATCTTCCTCGAAACAAGCAACGTCGAAGAGGATTGTGAGCGGGGTGGACAAGGAGACATCTCAATAGAGGGAGTGGGAGTGGCAAATTCACAGGGGGAAGAGGCCCGTTATTCCATCGACGCCTCGTCGGTTCTTCATTTCAGATCGATGCCTATATGGATTTGGGTGGGAAAAGAGAGGAGAGAAAAAAAAAATAGAGAATAAAAATTCGTATGAGGTTCGAATTTAGCCGGTTTTAATTTTATTAACATTCTTCGATTAGATTCATTTTAATCGAAATAAATTTAACTAATAACTTCCATTTTTCTTGAGCAGATTCGTTTCTATCTTCGGCGCGCGAACGAGTCCTTCCTCCACTTCTTGCTACTCGAAATTCACAGAGCTAATTACTCTTAATCTTCTATTGTATATCCCTGAATTTATTTTTTTACAAGTGTGGGTTCGTGTTCTAGAAAAATATATAACTCTATAATCTAAGAAGAAGAAAAAGAAGAGAAAATATTTTTCTTATTTTGACTGCAAAAATCGGCTATCACAATGTATAAGGAACTAGTGATTTTTCTCTTCCATCAAACATATATATATATATATATATATATATATATATATATATTTGAACCTGACAAAGGCTCACTTGCTCCAACCGGTAGGTCATCCATTGTGGGATTCATCTTTTCTTTTAAGATTCTATAAACTATAAAAGGTTGAGGTAGGAAAAAAATCCAAGGAAAAAGTCTTTCTCCTTATTTTCCTATGATGGCCGAAAATTATAGGATTTAATTTGTCAAATATTTTTCCAATTTTCTTTCATCTTATCTACTTGATTTAATTCAATTTTCTTAATTAATTAGAATTAGAAAATATAATAGGGGCAAATAAAAATGAATTAAATCCAAATTCTAAGAATAATTTATTTTATTAAATATTAAATAACTATTTATTTTCCAGTACCAAATAAATATTGACCGTAGATTGTATTCTCAAAATTATATTTTGAGCTTCCATTTATTATTACTTAAATTCTCCTGACTGGACCCCTTTATGAATAAGTATATCATGTTGGCCTTATTTGTAATGGACCCAAAAGTTAAAATTTAAAAATAGAATAAATATGGAACTATAAAAGATGAGGTCTCCCTATTTGTGATTTTAAAGTGAATCTATTTCTATTAACAAAACTCATAAGGGGTTATATTAAAGATCCCAAAATAGAGGAAATTGGGGGGAACCCGTTTGCTATTATCCTTTGCAAAAATAGGGTAAATTACAACGACCCCTGATGTATGGTTAAATTACGAAAAAACCCTTCTTGTTTGGATAATTACATCTACCTCCATCAACTATGGATCTTCTTAAACCTCCGCTCTTATGGTGTCAAATTCAACTTAATCATCTAGATTCGGTAGAATGTTCTCTAGTTTGTACTCGTTTTGTGCAAAAATACAGTTTCTGATGCACCACAATTGATATATACAAGCCCAAAAATATATTTTATGATCATCTTGCTGCAAAATGTGGAGCTCGAATGGGATAAAACGGTACAAAATTGAAAATTTTCTATATATTCTAGAAGATTCTACTAAATTTGAAACTGCAAGGGTGGACGTATAGGAATATTTATAATTGAAGGGTGGATGTAAATTACCCAAACATGAAGGGATTTTTTTGTAATTTGATCATACCTCAAGGATGGTTGTAATTAACCGTAAAAATATTATAAAGAAATATTGATAGCAAGATAAAATAAAGGGATTATTTGACAAAACCCCGTCATATGACATTTACTATTAGAGGGGATCCTTTTTTTTTTTACTTTTCCAATTTTAAGATAAATCCATAATATAATATTAAATTTTATAATACAATTATACCCTTAATCAAACTAATACCCACATTGTTTAACCCTAACCACATTCTCTCTCTCTCTCTCTCTCTCTCTCTCTCTCTCTCTCTCTCTCTCTCTCTATTTCTCTCTTCCCAACCACCATCTCTTCTTCTGTTTTCTTCTCTCGGCAATGGTATGTTAAAAGTGAGATGGGGCCTTGTTAAAACCTTGTGGGCCTACACAAGGAAAAAGAATGTCCCTATATACAATGGTAATAAAAAATCAAAAGCTACTCTACCAAAGCTATTACAAAAAATCCCCAAAGCGGGGTAAAAATGAAATACTCTAAAGCTAGAAATTTTAAAATTGCAAATGTGACCCCTGGTAGAGGTAAAAGTGTAACTATGCTGAAACCGCTGACTCCTCCAGTAAACTCCCAAACCCGACTCCTAAAATTGCATATTAACCCCCACATCTAGTATTTATAATTGTGGATTGCACCCTAGTAGATATAGATGCAATATCCACCAAACTCCACCTTCAAACCAACTGTCGAAGAAGATCATGGAAGAAAATTGGCAACACTCAACTTATCACTTATAAATGCAGCCCGTGCCTCCCTCAGTAAACTCATTTCAGAGAAATATTCTTATCTGACTTACGAAAATAAGCCCAATTAGCCAATCGATCTGCGACCGTGTTTTTTTGCCTCACGACATACTGGAACGAGATGGAAGGCTCCATCTCCTTCTCGCAATGTCAAAAAATATACTCAAGCTCCTATGCAATGTTCTTGGTCCGAATTGCATTGATAATCGGTAAGGAATCACTTCCCACTATAATTTGTGAGAGACCCAGAAGCTTGCATGATCTAAGGCCATGCATCGCCACCAAAAATTTCGCAAAGTTATTGGTGCCAACCCTAAAATATTTTGAGAAACCAACAACTATACCTCCTTCTGAATCCCTAACAATCCCACCACTCGTACATTCCTCTGCCGTGGCAGAACCATCTGTATTAAGTTTAAAAGCACCGCCCTTAGGCCGCTCCCATTTGAACCATTTTCCACGCTTATAGCTAGGCTGAACTAAATGGACTCCAACTTTTTGGAGTTGGAGAATTTGAAGCTTCGTAGACAACTGTCGAGGAACATGATTGATGACCAGGTGCTGAATATGAGAAAAGACTCGATGAATAATATTTTCTCTATGCATCACTCCCCCATCATAAATTACTTTGCATCGAGCCACCCACAACTCACGAAGAATATGACACACGCTAGATGTTCTAACCATCGTGTACTGCAATTGCATTTGTGGTTTGGAGACCCAAACAACAAGAGCATGTCTCGCGGACGCAAACTGCGATGGGAGGTGAAATAGCGAGTTGAAGTGCTGCCAGACTTGCCCCGCCACTTCAGATTGGAAAATTAGATGATGGCGTCTTCTTGTTGAGGATTTTTACAGCAAACACATGTAGATACCATCGGAATTCCTCTAGAGATAA